AGAGAGAGAAGCAGGCTCCCCGCTGAGCAGAGAGCCCGATGCGGGACTCGATCCCAGGACGCTGAGATCATGACCTGAGCCGAAGGCAGCGGCTTAACCCACTGAGCCACCCAGGCGCCCCTTCGGCAACTTCCTTAACGCTTCTGAGCCTCAGTTCATTCATCATAATAGAACAATAATGGTTCTTAACTGATAGAGTAGTTGTGAGCATTACATTATCTACTATTACATGCAAAGCTGTTAGCAACATGCCTATAGTAAACACTCAAAAATGTAGTTATTCTTCTGTGCAATTGAAAAGCCCAGAAGGAAATATGACTATTGTATCAGATGTTTTGGAAATAGGTGTCTTTATTGGCCAAGTAGCTGACGTAGTCACCAACAAATGAAGTATTAAGATAAGCGATTTTCCTGTAACACTGGGAAACAGCTGAGACTAAGATTGAGAGTTCCTATTCTCCCTAAGCCTGCACACTAGCAGGGAAGACAGATGATAAACAGGTGCTGTGAGGATAGGGTGATCAGGAAGGCAGTGACATTTGAGGGCCAAGAGCCAACCAAAGGCTGCTGAAGAAGAGGAATCCAAGGGAAACAGAGAGTGCGAGGCCTTGTAGCAGGGAGGAAGTCCCAGAACCAAAAGCCTGCCAAAGTGACTGGAACGATGGACAGTGTGGTGCAGGGAGATGAGAAGCATAGCGCGCCACGGAGGACGCAGTGCAGGCCTGGGTGGGGGGGTGGTCTCAGGCAAGTCATCACCCGCAGGCAAGTCAAAGCCTCCGTCTTTTTTTTTTTTTTTAACTCCGTCTTTTTTTGCAAAATAGGGATGATAATATTTTGCTTTACAAGGTTGAAAGGAACAAAAGCATTGTTAGTGGCAGCGCTTTGCAAATGACTGTAGCATCATTACAAACACAACCGTCGGAGAAAGAGGGGCGGAGCTTAGCAGCAAACTAGCTAGCCTTGTTGGTCGGCGCGTGCGCGGTAACCGGCCAGATGAACTCAGGCCCCGCCTCCAACCTCTCGGCCTGGACTCGCCTCCGGGCCCCGCCCTCTTCCGCGGGCACCCAACCCTGCGTCCCCTGCGTGCTGACGTCAGGCGCGTGCCCCTGTCCGGCAGCCGAGGAGACCCCGCGCAGTGCTGCCAACGCCCCGGCGGAGAAGCTGAGGTGAGTGCGGGGCCTGAGGCTCCCCGCGGGAGCGGGTCCCCCATGATCCCGTTCCCGCCGCGCGGCCCGCGCCGTCTCCCCGTCCGCGGGGACTCCCCGCCTCTGGGGTCCCGGGAACCCTGGGAGCGCGGGGCGCGGGGAGGGGTGCCCGGCTCGCGCGGCGCCGTCCGGGCGAGCACAGGTCCGGGTTCTGTTGGGGAGCGGAGGGGAGAGGGTGGCGGCGGGGCAGGCGGGGGCGCTCGGCCGCCGAGAGGTGCGCGGCCCGGGCGCGGGGTGCCGGCCTGAGGGCGCGGTCAGGGCCGGGCTGTCACCGGACAGCGGCGGAAGGAAGGGGTCACACCCATCCCGGCGGCCTGGGGCCCTCTCCCCCTCGGCCCGGCCCCGCGGGCTCCGAGGACGGGCGGCGGGCCGGGGCGCGGAGGGTGGGGGCCGCGGAGTCGCTCGCGGGTGGCTCGGGCTCCCGGGCCGGGTCTGCCCCCTGCGCCCCGGCTTGGACTTCCTGCTTCTCCCGGCGCCGCCGCGGACATTTTGCGGCTGGCTGGGGGAGGGGAGCGCAATCGCTAGCGCGGCGGGGAAGTGGCTGCCGGGGAGGGGGCGGCTCTCGGAGTGCCCTGGGCTGTGCCTGCGACGCGATTCCCTCCTCGGCTCCGCGGCCCGGCGGCGCCCGGTCGGGCGGGCCGGGTTGCTGTTTCTCCAGGCTCCTTTATTCCGGCCCTTAGGTTGAGTTTCTAGCACCATTTCCGTTTGCTTCTCCAGTTCTCCCTGCTTATTCAGCTGAAGCTTCCCTTTCAGGGAGTTACCTAACCACCTCTCGAAACTGTCGTTCTGCCTCTTGCTTAATTCCTCTTATAAGGGTGAAATTTTCTTTGTTCATTTGTTTTTTCCTCCCCTTTAAGTCCAAGAGAAATGCAGTGTGGAGGATTACGTCATCGCAATATAAGGGGTGAGAGTTTTAACTCCTACAAGTCAGGGACTCAATGAAGACAGCGTTTTGCAGCCTCAGGCACTCAGTGGCACATCCTGCCTGCTTCCCAGCGCATCGTGTTCTTAGACGATCCTTTGAAATCTTTTGGCTGTCTCAAAGGCATCTAGAAAGAAGGTTTAAAATCTCAAGATTAGCTGGTGCCCGGGAGTATAGCGTAAGACACACCTACAGCCACTCGTGTAGGCAGTAACTTTAAAGATCCCTTTGCAGTCGAATGAAGTGATTGTGGGAGAATTTCTTTGGCCCAAAATGACTTTTCCAGACTGTTTAACTTCTCCCTTATGACTTAGCGATGCACAGTACAGACCTAAGTTGGCTCACGTGCGCTTTTTGTGGCAAGGTTGTGGTGGAAGGAGAATCAGTTTGTTTTACACTTCACCTTTGCTTGCTAGACAATTTAATTTTGTAATTAACGAATTTTGGATTTTTAACCAAAAACACATCAGTATCTCTTTTCAGACTTTTGGATCACAGTATTTGTTCCTCAGAATATTAGGTACATCCCCAGTTGTATATCCTTCATTGATTCTGGGGATATAGCACAGAAAAATGTTAGCATTGTAAAGCAAATGAGAGCCCATTGTGTAATGGCATTGTAATAAGGGTAGTTCATGTTGGAACAAGTACTTTCCCATTGTTTCTCTTGTGTGTAGATAGAGCATTGCTTGTTAAGAAACACTTTAAAGAAGTAGGTTTAAATCAACTTTTCTATGTTGTGTAGGTGTTGCAGATGATTGGATAGGTATTGGGCTTGGATCTTCTGAAGTACATCTGTCATAATTTGGTATTTTGTTTTAAAACACTTCCTGTTGAATTATTTCTTGAGACTTCTACATTAAAGAAGTTTAAATATACATACATCAATTTGCATCATTCCTTTTAAAATGTAGCAGAATGTTTAAACTTACAGTTTTTAAACTGAGGCAAGGGTAAGAGATTGATAGTTACCGAGTATTAAAAAATGAGCGGTTTTCTAGTAATTTCTTCAAGACCTGGAAGGTATCACATCCTCTTAAAATGTTTCTGACCAAAATGTGTATTCAGTTAAACTTAGTTTTTTGGGAGTCTAAGGCCCATGTTACAGTAGTGGAGGTTAGGGCTTAAACATCTGTGAAATTCTTAAAGCCCAACAAAACCATTGCAACTGGGGCACCTGGGTGGCTCAGTGGGTTAAGCCTCTGCCTTTGACTCAGATCATGGTCTCAGGGTCCGGGAATCAGCAGGAAGCCTGCTTCCCGCTCTCTCTCTGCCTGCCTCTCTGCTTACTTGTGAATCTCTCTTTCTGTCAAGGAAAAAAAAAAAACCAAAACCAAAACCCAACAAGACCAAATCTTGACATTTTCTGTAATTTCAAGATTGGTTTTCCTTTATTCAGATACTTTTTCTCCTTGGAACTTTATGGTCTATTAGAAAAGCATTTCTAGGTTATTTTTAAGATGGTTACACTAATAAAATGTTTAGATTCAAGAGTGTCACATTTGGAAAAGTTTGAAGTACAATTTATTGTGCCTTTCTGGAAGCAGTATTTATAGGCATTCCTGGGAGTAAAAGTCAGATTGTCCTTTTATTTATAGATACATTTTAGATGTATTTCTTTAGTGTTTTGGGGGTCTTTTTGAGAGGATAAGGAACATGTCAGTCTGAAAGGGCTTCCTCTGCAGGGGAAGGAGGGATTACTATTTTGTTAACTTATGTCCCATAAATAGTTCTTTCATGTATCCTCCTATATCAGAGGGCTTCATTCTAGGCTTTTATAATAGTGTCTTATTCAGTGTTCTCTTTCAAATCTGTTAGTGTCCTCCACCAGCATGTAAGTGATATGAGAGCAGGACTTTGACCTGGCATGGACACCCCTGTATTTCTAGCACCTAGAATAGTGCTTGGTATATAGTAGGCCTCGAGACATGTTTGTCAAATGAATGAATTTAATGGTGTCCAAGGGTTAACATTTTCTTTCTGCATATTCCATAGGCGTGTTTACTGTGTTTCCTGAGACTTGTGCTTGGTCAGCCATATCCATATGGAGGCTCCTTGAAGTGAGGACTACTAATCTGCTCTTGCTTGCTGTTAGCCCTCTGTTTAGTCCAGTGCCTTCCACAGCTGTACTGTCTGGACTGTTCACCATCGCTTAGAAAGTTTTTTCTGATGACCCGTTCTTATTCTCCTAAAAATTTAGACTTTGATGTTTGCTTTTTTCCCTTCTTTTGTTTGCTATAGCAGCTTATTTTTGCCACTTACTCCACTCTGCTTAACAGTGTCACATTTCTGGTCATGTTGGGCTTTGTCCCTTACCAGTTTCTACTTTCAGTTACTCATCCTTTTGGTCCAAAATATTTTTGCTAAAGCAATTTTCATTACTTGTTATTTCAGTTATGTCTGCTACTGCTGCTGTGAAATTCCTGGACGTTAAAACTCTTCTTTACTAGTTGCCCCTGGGACATTGGTCTTAGAATGCTTATTGCATGAGGTTAAACCAGGTGTTTTTTGTTTTTAATTTTTTAATTTTCTCAGGATTTTATTTTTAAATAATGTCTACACCCAGTGTGGGGCTCGAACTCACAACTCCAAGAGCAAGAGTTGCATGCTGTACTGATTGAGCCAGCCAGGGACCCCTGAAACCAGGTGTTTTCCTTCTTTTAAAAAAATATTGTAGGGGCTCCTGGGTGGCTCAGTCCGTTAAGCGTCTGACTCGATTTCGGCTCAGGTCAAGGTATCAGGGTGGTGAGGTTGAGCTGCACGTGCGGCCCCGCGGTCAGTGCATAGTCTGCTTCAGATTTTCTTTCTTTCTATCCCTTGTCCCACTTGAGTGCGTGCTCTCCTCAGATAAATAAAACATTACCAAAAAATACTGTAGAGAAATATTTCTGAAATGTTTAGCTATTATGCTGAAGTACACAGTAGTTCTAATACAGGAAAAAACTGTATTATTAAGTCCTGGGATTCACCAATGATTGGCCGTCTGTCACTTCTGTTGCCCACTCAGTTCTTTAACTCCTGCCTCATGTTCTCCAAAAGAAAGCCATTTTGGTTTGCCATCTTAATTCTGCTGTCTTGGGAGCTATACTGCTGGTATCATAATTAAAGGTGTAGACTCTAGAACCAGACTGCCTGGATTCAAATCCTACCATATATTATCTACGTGCAGTCTGAGTAATGTCTTCGTGACTTAGGTCTACCTTCAGTAAAACAGGGCCAGCAGTAAGTCCCCACCTCACTGTTTTGAGAGTCAGATCAGTTAATCTGTGTGAAGTACTTAAGACAATTCCCTGGGACATACTAGGTGCTCTGTAGGTGTGTGTTCTTTTATTGCAGCCTCTCTCAGGCCTTCATGTGTGAGAAGCTGGGTTTTCCCCCAAATCAAAATTTTAGTAACCACCGTCCCCCAGATTAATGTCATGAAACAATAAAAATTATTAAATGAAGTGGAGATTGTTGCCTGCCTTAAGTTTTTGTCCACTCTCTTAACCAGGGTTACACAAGTGAGGTTGTAAAGTCAAATACAGTGTGTGGACTGTGGACCAGCAACACAAGATCACCTTGGAGATCCATCCCAGTCCCGCTGAATCAGGATCTGCATTTTAACAAGACACTCACATGATTTTTATGCACGTTAAAGTTTGAAGCATCCTCTTTAGGACTGCTAGAAGGATGTCTTAAGGGATTTCAGAAATAGCATTGGGTACTTTATTTTTATTTTTCCTCCTACTTAAGTATGAACTGCTTTCTTTTAAGCAGTGTACCAAATTTATTGCAAGGATCCTAACCTGAGAGTGGGCGAAACTGGTTTGGCTTGTAAAGAAGTGAGATAGGGGCCTGGGTGGTTCAGTCGGTTGAGCATCTGCCTTTGGCTTGGGTTTTGATCCCGAGGTCCCAGGATCGAGTTCCACGTGGGGGCTACTTGCTCAGTGAGGAGCCTGCTTCTCCGTCTGCCTGCTGCTCCCCCTGCTCGTGCTCTCTCCCTCTCTCTCTCTGACAAATAAATAAAATCTTTAAAAAAAAAAAAAAAGTGAGTTAT